GCTGTGGCATCACAAGTCAAATATATTCCCAAGAGAATCAAGTGAAGTGGCAAATAAATGACTTCTTCGTTCTGTTATGAAAATGGTTTTGACATTGTGGGTGCCCTTACAGGCCCCCCGAACACACTTAGGAAAGCTGTGTTGAGATTCGACATTGGTCATCTTCTAGCCTCTGTGGGACTCCATTCAGTCCCGGGCCTGGAAACTGGAAACTGTGAAGAATCCCTCCCCTCGGGTCATAGGATTCAGTGAATTAACAGCAAAGCACTTAGACCAGCACAGTGCGAGTCCCTAGTAACTCTCAGCTATTTTTCTTTTTGTTCTTGTAATTCTGAGTGGAAACCAAAGCTCTTCCGAGAAATTGCAAAAACTCATTGAAACTTTATTCCAACTGATTTTCCCTTCCTGTCTCTCTTGCTCCAGTTGTAAAATGAGACTTTAAACCTGGGTGCCAATTGACAAATGCTACTGTCAAATAATTGGAGGTTTTGATGCTGGCCAGTTGGTGACAAGGAGGCCACTTTATGCCAGGCTGTCAGCTGCTGACAGTTTCATTCACTGTTGCTCCCAATCCTTTCCTTCTTAGCTCTTCTCCTCCATGAAGCTGGTAGTGGATGAGCGGAGAGGGGAAAATTGATTTCAGTGACACTAGGGTCTGCTGGGGGCCACAGCCTCAGTTTACCTGCTTTCTCCTCTTTGATTTTCCACACCATAGTCACGAGATAAATTGATGAATTTGAGGAATGAACATCAGATGCCATCAGCAAATTATTGAGAATTCATGTCTGCCCTCTGCCTTATTGTTTGTTTGTTTGTTTGTTTTTAATAGGAGCGAGTGTAATTCTCAGTCTTGCCTTCACACTGGAATCACTTGGGAAATTTTAAAACCACCACTACCTAGATTCTGCCTCCACATGTGCTGATTTAATTGGGCTGGGTGTGGCACAGACATCAACATTTTTTAGATCCTCATAGTCTCCAAGGTCTTACCAGGCTGTGACTATAAAAGGTCATATGCTTTACTTTTTTATTGTAAAATATAAAAACCTACCATAAATGTCAACTAAATGATTTGTTATAAAATGAACACGTACCATGATCCACCACAAGAAAGAGGACATATTGCCAAACACCCAGGGCTCTTGATTCTCTAGCCACAATTCTTTTCCAACTCTTTGGGGGTTACTGTCACCCTGACATTTTTTACTCTGTGTTCTTGTTTGTCTTATAATTTATGAATTATAGAGTATTAATCCCTAAACGACATGGAATAGATTTGCACATTTTTTTCATTTTATTTAAACAGAGTCCTGCTTCTTTAGCTAATGTTACATTTTTATTCACTTGTGGTTTGGGATTTTTTGTTGTTATTCTATAATATTTTATCATATCAATGCATGAGTGTCTTTGTCCATGCCAGTCCTGGCGGATATTTTGGTTGTTTTGGTTTTGGACTATTACAGTCAATGCCTCCATGAATATTTTTGCATGTATCATGGCACATAAAAGTAGACATTTCTGAATATAGACAGCTAGAAGTATAGTTGCTGTCAGTCACTTTCCTGGCACTGGGACCAAATGCCTGACACCCACAATTTGAGGGTGGAGAGGTTTATTTTGGCTCATGGTTTTGTAGAGAATTCAGTCATAGCCTGCTGGCTGCAAGGCAGGAGGGGGATGATGGGAGGAATCTCATCTCATAGAGGCAGCCAGGAAAGGACAGAGGAGGCAGAAGCCAGGGACAGGAATTGACCCTCCAGGCCACGCCCCCAATGACGCCTCCAGCCAGGCCCCGCCTCCTAAGGGCACGTTCAGCGTAGAACACAGCCATGGAGGAATCTGCTGATGAGTCGGACCCCACAATCCAGTCGCCTCCCACACCCCTGAGGCTTTGAAGCGACGTTTTAGGTCTAAACCCTAACCACTGGACATAGTCACTCATCAGAAGGAAGAGACAGGCAGAGCTGCGGCCTGTTGTGGTGGGCTCTCGGGACAGGCTGCAGCTGGAGTCAGACCCTAACACACCCCTGCTCGGGCTGGGACCTGGCAGGTGGCGCGGCTCCGAGTGCTGCTCCCAGGAGCGCTGTCAACCTGTTCTCGGTGATTTCCCTGGGTGCAGGGCCAAGGTGCACTGCTCACACCAAGAGTGGAGGCCCTAACGACTTGCTTCCCACTCTGGCCCCGAGGGTGGCCTCCTGCAAGTGCGGTCATAGGCTCTCTAGCACGACCGCAGGCTCGGTTCATCCCACCCTCAGCAGCTGGGAGAAGCAAACAAGGAGTTTCTGGAGAGAGCTCCAATCATCCTAGGCCTGGAAATAGTTAGAAGTTCTAATTTGCTCCTTGATCTTGACAGGTAATTCCCTGCTATCTCATTAGCTCCCTGATGCTTTGACGTGAGATGCTCTTTTGATGTCTCAGCTCTTTCCGGTTATTTATTTATTTATTTTTATTGAGTTTATTGGTACATTTAGGGATACAGTACAGTTACATTCATTGTTGGGATCATGTACCTTTATATGGCAAGTCTTGATTCTCATTTTTTTCCCTTTACCTCTGCCCTCCCTTCACCCGAGATGCTCTTGATGTCTCAGTTGATCTTGACAGGTAATTCCCTGCTATCTCATTAGCTCCCTGATGCTTTGACGTGAGATGCTCTTTTGATGTCTCAGCTCTTTCCGGTTGTCTTCGGTGGGAAGTCCAGCCTGGATTAATTGCTTTGGCACATGCCCCAACACACACACACACACACACACACACACACACACACACACACACACACACACCCTATTTGAGTGGTGTGGGCTTGTTGCAGAAACCTGTGCTAAAATAACTTGAGGGTTTCCAGGGAGCACCTGAAAGCTTTCCCCGTCTCTACTCAAATCCCAGGACAGCCGCTCCGTCTTCTGCAGGTTCCTTTCCGTCTTGCCACGTCAAGTAGCATACTCTTCAGGTGGTGGTTGCTGTCTTGTCTCACTTTGCTCTCAGTGTGGACGGGCTGTGGTGTGTTCGAGTTGGCCCAGACTGTTCCCAACGGCCAATGGTTCCATTTTCAGGAATTATGTGAGCCTGTGGTTAACTATGGGCATTATTAAAAATTAAATTATACAAACTTATAATCTAATTAAATTCTATTAAAAACAAAACCAAAACCCATACACTGACAACTCATCACTTCCTAATTACTTTACCATGCTTTTGGGGACGCCTCTGTTGGCCTTGTCTTGGGGGTGTTAGGTGATGCTGTGCTGTTGGCTCCCCTTTTCCCAGCTCAGCATTTAGTGACAGCACTGCTTGGGATCCGTCCCAAGGAGGACTGGAGTCTCAGAAAATTGCAAACGCTACAAATCAAGGCCTTTTTAAAGAGTCAGTTCTTAAACATTCATCAACATAGCGCAAGACGTGGACCTCTCTTCCAAGCCTTGCGGTGGCGGAGGTCCAAGCAAATGCTGAGGCTGACAAGACTCAGGGAAAGACTCAGGGAATTTCTGTGCAGGTTTCTCAAAACTGGCGATGAGAAATGGCTGCTCGCCCCAAAGCTTAGGCCGCTTGATGGTGGTTCCTCACGGGGCTGCTTTGCCCAATTTCTGTCTTGGCTATTGGTGGTAGAATCCATCTTCCCTGCCCCAAGTTGGCCTCCCTTCAAAGAGAACAACGTCAGGCAGCTCTTTCTGACATGAATTCCAGGCCCGAACTCCAAGATACACAGAGAGCGAAACAAGGTTCTCCCTCACCCATCTGCCTACTCTCCTCTCCCCCATCTCTTCTTTCTCAGGGTTGACTCTGCCCGAGCATCTCTCCAGGATGATGACAGCAGGAGTACTCAGGGTCCTTCTTTCTCACCACAGGCGCTGCCTTTGCCCATGACGGCTCGGAGGACAGGGCAGTTCACAGCATCTCCGTTACCTGGTTCCAAAGAAACCTACTATACTGCCATAAGCTAGGCTGGGATTGGGCCTTTGAAGAATGCCCTGACTTCCCATGTCTTCTGGCTTGCTTCTTGCTGTCTCACAGAATGTGCCCGTCCCAGAAAGCAATATGTTCAGTTCCCTTTTTCCTTCCTGGTGCTTATTTTCCTCACTCATTCACCCGCACCCCCCCCAAAATTGGATCTTGTGTGTTGTCTCCCTCCTCACCACCACCACCACCAGGTCATTTTTGTCTGGGTGATTGTATAGTTTCACGTAGGGCCTGGCACATGGCGGCTCCTCTGTAAATACTGGGCGAATGAATGAATGAAAAGCTGGGGATGTCAGAGTGTTTGAATGAGCACTGCTTGGGACCTGGAGACCTCAGTTTTGATTTGTACCTGGGACCACAGTAAGAAACTCTGAGAGACCCCGTTCCCACACCTCCAAGTACCTGTCAACAGAAGGAGGCTAGCATGCCTGTCCCACAGGCTCCCTCAGCCCCAGTGAGGCTTGTGTGAGGCCATCTTCTTTAGCTTATTCTGTACTCATGTGAAGGGATACTTTTCTTGTCTTCCTGGCTTACACCTAGTATAGTTAGCGGTTGGTTCCGTTCTCGCCTTGCTTTAAACTACTCCTAAGAAAAAGCTCTCCATGGGAATGCAGGGCAGGGATAACAGGCTCAGTGTTGTTTTCCCTTGGAAGCCTCCAGCAGATCCTTTGTTTGTCACATATTGGGACTCGTAAGAAGCCACTGAAAGACCACAGAATAAAAGAGAAGAAAGCTACCACTGAGTCCTCGGTCTCACGCAGGGCAGCACTGTGGGGTGTCGATATACACGATCTCATTCCTGCCACCGTGTGGGGCACAGAAGGCTTCACTCAGACACCCGGAGCTGAGGTGTAGAGAGAGCCCGTGTCCCACAAAGGTGAAAAAGCTGAGGAGAGGCAGGGCCTGGGGGAGGATGCAGCTGTGTCGGTCTCCGAGAGCTAACCTCCGCACCTTCGCAGTCCGGTCGCTTAACCGGAGAGCCCAGCGGGGAGCGTTCTCCCTAAAGTGGGTGGCGTTCCTCATGGGCGGTTCTTTCTTTCCAGACTGTTTATGACCAGTGGTTCGTCACTCTTTTCAACATCGTCTACACGTCATTACCGGTTTTGGCCATGGGCATTTTTGACCAGGTACGTGTTTTTCTCTACTTCATAGCTTAGTGTCTCCGTCATACCTTTTAGTTCCTTCTGGCTTCTCAGTGGAAGACACGATTCATGGAAAGAGCTCTAGAAATGCAGTCATTTTAAAAGGGGTTGTGCAGGGTCACAGACCCTTCCAGATCCCCCGACCCTGCTTCTCTCAAAGGGTTCGCTGCTCAGACCAGCTATCCTCTTCCTAGAGACTCACACCCACGTTATTGCCAGAAGGCTCTGAGAAGTCCTGCAGGAAATAGTCTTTTTTTATTTTAACCCAGCATTCTCCAAGTTTCGATGACTGTACTTCTGCCTTTCTCTTTTTCCCCTCCTTACCGTGCCTTTTGCTTCACACTCTGCAAGATGCTCCATCAGCCTTTGAGCGTTTGTAGAGAACCAGCATGCAGTGTAGACAGGAAAATGAGGAGGCAAACTGCACCACAGAAAGCTAGCATGGGCGGAGGCACTCAGCCAGCACAGCTCCAGAAAGGAAACTATGGGCCATGGGCCCGCCTGGCAGCAGGACAGGAGCACACGAAGCCATTGCCATGGGCAGGAAGAGCACAGCTTTCTGGTGCTCGGAGTGAATGCACTTGAGAAGGGAGAGGAGAGGGAGTGGATTATAAACATGGTGGGCCTGGCACATCGGGAGCTTTGGAAGGGGCTTCCTGGCTGCTTGCAGGGAAGTGGAAGGCTAGACAGTTTGGTTTCCATGGCACAATAAGAGCATATTATTTTAAAAAAGCATGAGCTTTTTGTTTTTTTCAAAGTACTTTTAAGAAGACCAGATTTTCTCCCGGCCGTTGTTTGAGCCATTTGCGAGGCCTCGGTTTCTGGCCCAGCACCATCAATTTTGAAACACAGATCCCATTTTGGGCTCCGTGGGCTCCCTGGGCTCGCCCGCCATTCCACGGGCTTTGAAGTCAGCTCTGAGCCCCACTTCGTACTTGCAGAACGGGCAGTTTGTGAAAAGCACATTTGGGGGAATTCTGCAAAAAGTAATGAGCTCCTGGAGCCCTTAGATATAAAAGGTTAAGAGCATTCATCTCCAAGTGCCCATGTTTACAAGTGTTTCTTTTCTTGGTACTTGGTAGCTGCCCAGAATGTGGAATCAAATAATAAAAATAAAGCAGTTTCTGGGAAAACATGGCTATTGTGCAACTCCAAAAGAAATACAATAAAGCTCCTATTGCCATCCATTGAATGTCTGCTCCTCTCCTTGCTTGCTTTGTCGGGGTGTTGGCTCTTATGCTGGTCACAGGATGCAGGGCAGTGTTCTGGAAGGGTCTCTGATCATTTATCGATTTGTTCCTCTTGTGAGCAAGAAGCCAAGTGCTGGAGGTTCAAGTCCCTGTCCTCATGCCCCAGAGCTGATGAGTGATCGCCTAGAACCAGGCTACTTGATACCTATTGTTATTGAGTCTAACGACCATAGTATTTTATTTATTATCATTGTACCCGCATCTGCTATTGCTTAGGATGTGGCAAGGTTTCCTGAGTGTTTTACATCTCGTGCACTCACAGGAGTGGCTCTAGGAGGGGATGTTATGTTTGCGTGTCTGGAGATGAGGAAACAGGCTCAGAGTGGTTCAATCACAGGTCTTAGACTGGGCACTGTTGCCGGACTCGAGCTTAGGCCATGTGGTTGTGTGGCTTCAAAGCCTGTGCCCGTCACCCCACCAGTCACCAGAATGGGACAAGGAGTCCCAGCAGGGCCGCAGAGCAGGATTTCCTGAAGAGAACATGTCTGCTCTCCATGGAGCCCGGCTCAGGGAGGCCCGGGCCAGCCCACAATGAGGAAGTGGAACCAGACCGCGCATTGAGAAGCATCAGGCTGCTTTTTCCAGTCCTTGGGTGGTGCTAAACATCCTAATTTCTTTGTCCCAAAGCCTTGTACCTGCCATTGAATCCTGCATGGATGAAGCACTTGGGTCCTAACCCTTCAGCCCCAGTCCCTTCGGGTTCTGATGGGCATTTCTGCCTCCACAGCTCTGCTGCCCCCTGCTGGCCAGTACCCCTCACGGTGTGGGCAATCACCTGGGGTCCCCTGACTGCTCAGGATGCCCTGAAATTTGGGAAGCTCCCAAGAAGTCTGCAGCCATGGCCATCTGCAGGGGAGTGCAGAAAAGAAACTTTGCTTTGAACCCAAGAGTCTGGGGTCCCATCAAATCGAGTTTAGTGTCTGCTCCTAAAGATCCATGTGACCTCGCACGAATTTCTTTTGGAGATTCAAGTTCCTTCCCTGTGTGATAGAGATCATTTTACTGTCTTCTGGGTTATTGTGGGAATGAAAACAAGATAGTCTTGTTCTGGCCCAGTGCACGTTCGGGTGTGCTCCAAAGGCATCTGCTATTTCTGGACTCAGGGAATACAGAGCTGCTCTGGCTCTCCTCAAGCCTTCCCCACCCCGCTGAAATTCTGCTCTGTTTACAGGACGTGAGTGACCAGAACAGCATGGACTGTCCCCAGCTCTATGAACCTGGGCAGCTGAACCTCCTTTTTAACAAGCGTAAATTCTTCATCTGCGTGGCACATGGAATCTACACCTCATTAGCCCTTTTCTTCATCCCCTACGGGGCCTTTTACAGCACAGCTGGAGAAGACGGACAGCACGTGGCTGACTACCAGTCCTTTGCCGTTACCATGGCCACTTCTCTGGTCATTGTGGTCAGCGTGCAGGTAACCCTGTCCCTGAACACCCTGGGACTGGCTTTTACAACTTTTCAAGCTCCAGTTTGTTGTTGGCAGATTGTGTCCCCTTGTTGAGAGGAAAATAAGCCTACAAGAATACTTTTCTTTTTTAGTTACACCCTTTGAGATGAAAATAGGAAACCTTAATACAAATTGCCAGATGTGGGGGATTAATAGTAGTTGTCTGTAACTGTCACATTTGTAGAAACCTCATAATGAATCACTCCTTTGGGTTGGGCATTGTGTTGAAGAGAAATGATTCTACTACTTCCTTCTTGCGTTTGAGGAAGAAGAATGTTCCAATGATAACAGAATCTTCCCAGCATATCTTTAAGACTTAATAACTTCCAGGTTTTACGTGAGAGCTGACATTTGTTTGGCCATGCATTTCTGTGGAATTACTCAAGATCTTTAATGCTCTAGTTGTGGTACGCCCACATCTCAAATGTAGCGGGGGCCTGTTCTGATAGAGATGGTTTTTGATCTCCTGTGACCCTTTCTCAGGGATATCTTGAGCTGTGTAATGCCAGTGGTGGTAAATGTCCTTAGACACCAAGTTGGAATTCGCAAAACACTTCTGATCTACAGCTATTTGTAGCTCTGGATGGATACAACAAACAGTGTAACTTCTGTTTTATTTTTTTACCTTTCAATACCTTTTGATTACCTACTCGGAACCAGGTGATCTCCTCTTTGTCATGAAAGGTAGGTTTCCAAGTTGCTGGATTCTCTTTCCAGGGAGAGGAGGGAAGTTATGGGTATACAGGGATGGGTGTCTTTTAGTTGTTACAGCTTATTCGACTCTATTCACATCAGGCCTGTTCCTTGGTCCAAGAGATGATTTGAAAGGCCGTAACTGAGATAAGAGGCCAATCTGAAGGAAAAAGCAAATGAAAAACATTCCTCAAATGGTCTTAACATTATCTGCTAGACAAGGAAGGGTAATAAATTACCTGGAACATTCATAATAGATCTGACATATGACAGGCATTAAATGCTTTTAGTGAAACTCATCTTCAGAACTAATCCTACACAGTTTGGTTAACTTTATCTTTAAAAAAAAAGCCTGGTGTATCTTTTTCTCTGTTTCCTTTTGGTTATCGATAAATTATTTTCTTATATGCTATCCCAGCAGTGCCCATGCTATGTTTTTATATTAGCTTTATGTCTACATTTTCCCCATAAAGTACACAGTTCTTGCTGCAGTTGGATAGCAGAGCTACATTTCTCCTTTATCACAATTGAGAGACCACAGAAATACTCTTATTTTTAAAACATTGCTTAGTATGTCACACACACACACACACACACACACACACTGCAGAATGTTGCATTTGGAGTTTTTGGCAGAAGGTGAATTTCTTACCCGTGATGACTGAAGTTGTATAAAGTTGTTATCCTCACTTCAGAGGGATTTCACACTGAGGACTCCCTTGGCCCCAGACTCAGGCAGTTTCAAGTGGTGGTGTCCACGTCTACTCAGGCCTTCGTGGCCATTTGTCCGTCTGAGAGCTGCTCCCTGCCTTCCAACTACCAAAGGCAGCAGGTCCTGCCCCATCGGGTCGCCTCAGTCACAACACCCCAGCACACTGACTTCTTTCTCTCCGTGGGATCCAGCAGGCCTGTCCTGTGCCTTTCCTCTTCTCTGCCTGGGACTCTCTCCCCTCTGCTTCCCTTGGTTGCCACTCTTGTAGAGAGGCCTTCCGGGAGCCTCCCATTGAAGTCAGCCCTGTTGTTCTCTGTGGTGGGACTGGAGTCTGCCCACTGTTTACCTCACAGCTGTCACCTCCCCTAGTTGGTGAGTCTCGTTCCCTTGAGTGATGTCTGCCCTCTCACAGGAAGCAGAGCTGATGCCTGTGTTCTCCCCACGCGTCTGGGCCCAGCGCATTGCCTGCGGTAGAACAGACACACAAGGACGCGTCTTGAGTATTGAATACATGAGGGAGACATTTCAAGGACATTTTCCTTCTACTGATTCTGGCAGAAAAGAAGGGCTCTTCTGCTCATGTCAGATCCCTAGGACTTAATGTAACTGACTTAAGTTTACGGGTAGTGTTGATAGTTTTCAAATGCGCCCATGGTGAGTTCCCAACCAGTCTGCGAAGCAGAGAGTATAGAGGCCTTCATCAGCACCTCACTGCGGGGAGGCCCTTCCCACATCCACCCTCACTCTGTTAGGTTGCTTCTGTGCTTTCACCGTGGAAACTGACACAAAGGCAGGCTTTCGTGCACATCCTTCTCAGTAGCATCCTCCCACTGTCCCCTAAAGCTATATTCCGAAGAGTGAGAATTCTGGGTCAAAGGGCATAATAAGAGAGCTTAAGGTTCTTTTTTACATGTTGCCCAAAATACTTCCAAATAGGTCATTTTCAACTGAAAGCTACAAAAAATCCTTCCCAATAGCCCTTTGTGGATTTAGACCAACTACTTGGAGTTATTTTACAGTGTTGAATTGATGACCTTTTGCTGCCTGGGACATAATGCGTGTTGAAAAATATTAATAAAGTTTGCTATTTAAAGAGGAATAAGCTTTAAAAGTCCCTTTTCTTTAAAATAAGAGTTTTTCAGAAGAGCTGTAGGTACAGATGAGACAATTTCTGATGTTAATATTAAATCTGGCATAACCATGGTGCATTTGTCAAATCTAAGAAACTCTCATTGGTGCAAGACTATTACCCACACGGGGGCTTGCTTCCTACCTCCCTAGTTTCTCTACTAACCTCTTTTTCATTCCAGGCCCCACAGTGCTCATACCCGTCATGCTCCCCAGGCATCTGTCTCTGACAGCTGTAGACTTCCAGTGTCTTTCACGACGGAGACAGTTCGGAAGAGTAGTGGTCAGCTATTTTATAGAATGTTCCTCAGCGTGGGTCACCCAGTGTCTGATAGTCTGCTGCGGTGGCTTTTGAGGAAGAATCACAAAGAGCTAATGTGCCCTCTGTTGTATCGTCTTGGGGAGCACGGTATCTTAACATGCCTTGTTACAGATGATTCTCACCTTGGTATCCTGTTCCAGAACTGTCCACTGTAAACTGTGCTTCCCTTTTCATATTCCTTAAAAAGGAGTCACCAAGTCCAACTCATACTCAAGGCGAAAACAGTCAAGCTCTACCTTATAGAGGAGGGAGCATCAAAGAATTAGTGGTTGTATGTTAAGACCGTAACAAGCACATTTAAAATAAATAAAATGGAGGTACCTTGAATCTATAATGATAAATAAATCAGACACACAAGCTTAAAAATAATATGATTTGTCTTATATGAGAAACCTAAACTACATGTACAAGTAAATTAGAGGGCAAAATAAAAGATAGACAACAAGAAATAAGGAGATAGATCTTTGTGAAATGGGAAGGGGGCCAAGAGCTAGAGAAAAGAAATGGGTAAGGGAAGAGAGGAAGGGGTTATAAAAAGAAATAAGGCTTGTCAGGACATGTACCAAATACTCACAGTGAATTTATTTGTGATGTACTGATAAAATAAAAATTTAAAATACTTGTATAACAACAGCCTGGGTTCCAGAAATAATAACTGATCTGCCCAAGATCACACTATAATTGCTTTTCAGACATAGCACTAGGACCCAACAGTTTGAGCTTCCAAGTCAGTGTTCTTTGATGACAACATTTGTGAGGGTTCTCGTTAAGAATTGCAGAAAGCATTTCCTATCACCAGGCGCACACCGGGTAATTAAGCCCTCTCTATCTTGGCTCCACACTTCGTTCCATGGATTTCTCCCCTACTCATTTCTCCCTGCCTTCCACCCCACCATTACTTCTGAGTGCCGGGAGATCAGGAGATTGAGGGTAACCTACCTCAGTTCAAACTGCAATGCCAGACACAAGTAAGTACTTGTGAAAAGAAATTAGGGCAGAGAGACACGAGGCCAGTGGTTAAGACTGAGCATAGGAAGTGAGGATAATCGGGTCAAGATACCAATTCTCCCTGCTGTCCTACTCACCCTCCTGCCTGGCCCTGGATGACCAACGCAGATCTGTCCTTGGGTGGCGGCTTCCGAAGATCTATGTCATCATCACCGCCATGAGCGACACTGTGCGTTATACTTACTATGCACATTGCCGTGGGGTAGCAGGCATTAGTGTTCCCTTTTACAGAAGAAACTCAGGGATGTTAGGTGACTTGCCTGAGGTCACACAGTAAATCCCAGAGCCAGGACTCAAAACTAGGTCTATCTGGTTCCAGCACTGTCCAGGACAAAGCCCTTTATTCTATAGTGGGGCTGGCTAAAATGCAAATTTCCAGAGAAATGTGTGAACAAAGCTTGCACTGAGCATAAATCAAGATAGCAGATACTGTGCCAGACACGGGGATAATCCTATGATCTCATTTAATCCTCTTAATGGTCCTGTGAAATCTAGATGTGATTGCTACACGTAAAGATGAGAAAATAGACATGGGAAGAAGGGAAAGTTAGACCCAGTCACACAAAAGTGGCAGGCCAGGAGGTGAACACGAATCTTCTGAGTCCACCTTCACTGCTCAGTCCCATGTGGACCTCCCTTCTCTACCATCCTAAGGAGAACTGTGGGTCTCCCCGGCCTCCTAGTAGCACCAGAGTGTGCTCCTGCTCTCCCTCTCTCCCACAAGGGGACACCGGGGATGCCAGCACCCTTGAATAAAATGAGAAACACACTTCCTTCAAAGATGACAAATACACAGTCCTCTTTGTAGTGTCACAGCCTCAACTCGAGGACCACACGGCTCCTTAGTTCCTGACGTTTCAGCGTCACTCTTTGAGGAATACCATCACGTATTTTTATTTTGAAGAAGCCCTGAAAATGTCTGTTTTACCATAGAATTCTCAGAAGTCAGAGTGCAATGCTTGTAACCATTGAAACTCAGCAATTTTGGCTTCAGTAAAAAAACCTGCTGTCTTTAATATATGGAATAATAACTTTCAGGAATCCTGTGAATAAGCTCCTTTTGACAGCAGCATTAATATCCTTTCCTCACTGTCTAAGCTTGGC